AATTACCAAATCACTAAATGTGTTTAATAAAAAGCAGGCCACTTTAACATACACAAAAGGTTATCATATTTCCATATCAACATACTTTGCATGAACTCCAATTGGGAAAATGGACATTTTTGATCTACACACACTGCACAAATATCAATTATGCTCTCCAGGCCAAAGTATTAATCTGGTGTTATCTATGTACACGAGTTATGACCATCTATGAGGCTGGGTTTAGGAAACCTCACGGGTACCTATCAATCTGCATAGTTAATAACATAAACTGGCGATGACATTTAGCATTTTTCAGATAATGCATAATTAAAGAAAATAAGCCTATTTGACACTAAACTAAGCCAAATTAAAGGGCCATCTTTTCTCCTAAAGATACAAATTTACACATATGTAAACCATATAGAAATGAAGAACTACAATATTACTCCTTGAAAGGCAAATTACAGGCTCTAAAACTGATGTATAAAAAATGAATACCAAATATGCATGTTCATAACATGCCAAAAGCGTGCGCTAACACGAAGTGGTATCTATTATTCTACATACCAAATTCAACACTTGAAAACAAACCCATATGAAGTTTCTTAATCGACCCAGTAAACATAAATTAACAAATCACATTGCTAGTAGTTATACACCATTCGCCAAATAAAAAATAAAACGAAAAAGTAACATAAAAGGCTTCATACCCACGGATGGTGCGCCAGAGGATCTTGGATGGAGCACGGAAATGTATGGGGCCATGGGACGGCTTGGTGTTCATACGCTTACGAAGAAACCGCAAGTACTTCATCTTCTGGCGAACGAGGCCACCTGACAAGCAGATTTCCTCGCACCTGACCACCACCACTTTCTGTCCATTCAAAAGCTCCTTGGCTAAGATGGAGGCCAGGCGGCCCAGCATGTGGTGCCTCGCATCCACCACAACTCTCTTCGCGCAGATCCCTGAGCCTGATACCATTGTTCCTCTCACTACAACTCCCCCTCTCTCACTCTCTCTCTAGGGCTGCTGAAGGATGAAGGTGATATAACGGTTAGGGTTTCATTCAGGGTTTTGAATTTGGGTTTTGATTGGATTGTCGTATCTGTGTAGCGGATCCCATTTACTGAGAAAGGCCCACGAGGCTTTTAGAGTTAAGGGAATTTACTGAAACAGCACTGAAGTGACGCAATATTGAAACGTAATACTCTTTTGTAAGTTTTATGGCAACTGTGTGATTATCGCTAATAAAAACAGAAGGGGAAATTGTAGGGGAAGTTTCAAATATTTCAATTTATTGCAGACTACATTTTAACCTTTTATTTTTGCTGTCGCAATTCCAAAACTTTCACTTTGACTGCAGCCAAAGTTCATTTAATAGAATCCATCCATTAATTTGTTAGTTAACACTGAAATTAAAAGATTGACTAAAATTGACAAAGAGAGGGGTAAAATATTATATTTACATTTTCTATAATATTAAAAACTTTAAAATAATTAAATCAAAAATAAAAATAAAGGACTCTTAATAAAAATAATTTCAGTTTTAACTAATGGATGAATTCTATTAAATAGACTTCAACTGTAGACAAAGTGAAATGTTTGAGACTAAAGTTGCAAAAATAAAAAGTTAAGATGTAGTCCACAACAAATTGAAAGATTTGAGACTGCTGCAATTTTTCCAAAATAAAATGTTGTGGGTTTAGATGCTTGTGTTTGATGGATATTATTGAGAAAATAATGCATTTTAAATAGTGATATGACGGGAAATATGTGATTAAAACAGTAAGGAAAAATTATTGATATGATGAAAAATATTATTTTATTGAAAAATGTGTGGTTGAAAATGAGTTTTGAAAGAATGTGTGTCAAACAAGAGCATAAATTTTTGAGTATGAATAGAATTTTACAACACGATCATGTTATTTAACACTTGTTTGGTAAATTTTTTTCGAGAAGTAATTATTTGATTTTTTATTTTTATTTTTATTTTTGTGTATGTATGGTTAAAAAGTAGATGGATTTGAAGATATGCCCTGGGGGCATGGATATACCTAATTTTTAAATTGAAAGAGGTGGTGGTGGATTTGAAGACTGGTGGAGTAGAGATAGGTTGAGGTGGGGTGAGATGTATATTGATTGTTAGTTAATTTGGTAATTTGTAGCCTATTAAAATATATGATTTGCGATTAAGCCCCCGTTTGACACTCATTTTGTTTGAAAAATAACTTTTGGAATAGTGATTGATAGAATATTGTGTAGTTAAAAAGTAAGGAGAATTTTTGGATTTATGTGTAATATTATTTTATTAATAGAATGTGTGGTTGAAATAAAGAAAGAGAAATATAATTTAAAAAAAGGGTGTCAAACAAGGGCTAAATATATACTTGTGATTCATAAATTGTGTTTTTGTGACTGTGACTTTATTTGATTTGTGATTAGTATGTGACGATTACTATAAATTGTGTGTTTATTGTGATCATGACTTGTTTGATTAAATATAAGTCATAAATTTACTCAAAGTCACAAAATGAGAGTAATTGATTTTTTATGTAGCAGAAGATTATAGGAAAGACAAAAATTCACACAAAAAGAATTTTAATCAAGAGAAATTTAAGAAAAATTTTATTTCATTCAAAAATGAGTTGTTTCAAAGGGCTTACAACGTTTAAATAGCGAAATCCTAAGAAAATTCGGAAAGAAATTAC